CAAAAACCCACTGCCATTTTTTTGTTCCAGCTGCTTAATGTCTTCCAGCAAAGATGCATTCATGAACCAGTTGATTGCCATGTTTAATGCCTAACATATAAAACAGTGTCTCACAGGAGCAAGGTCTGAAATTGTAATAGGGTTTGTGGCACGTGGTTTCACCTTAAATGTCAGAGAATCAGAAACCAGGAAACTCTCTAGCTGAAAACAATTTCAGTGTATGGAAGAAAGAAAAGTAAATTCTTATTAGGATGGATTGATAGAACCCCAGCTGTCTACTATATTTATTTCAGACATGTAATCTTGCAAAACATTACATCTTAGGATATAATTTCATTTGTGGAGTGTTAACAGTCACATTTTTCTGTGCTGAAGCCTGTGCCTGTGTTTGGAATTGGCTTCCTAAATCGTCATTGCTCAATGCCGTCTGCCACCATCTTAGATGCTCTGCAGACCTACAGTCATAAGGCGTTATTTGACTGGTGCTTTTTTACTATTTGTTATTTTACTCTGGCTTCTACAGCTTTACCTCCTCTGAACTTCTTATTGTATTTTTAAGCATATGAAATAAAGATTGCATAAGTTGTTTCTCATTTTCTTCCTTCCGAACATGTTATGTTTTCTAAGTAAAGTTAGCTTCATGAACACAATTATGTCTCTATTTCTGTTTATATTTCTCTGTTGTTTCCCTGTTTTATTTTTTCTTTCTTTAAACTGCTTTCAGGAAGTTGACCCATCCGAAGTTAGTCCAGCTGTATGGTGTCTGTACTCAGCAGAGGCCGATCTATATAGTGACGGAGTTCATGGAGCGCGGCTGCCTTCTAAATTACCTTCGCCAAAGACGTGGACACTTCACGAAAGACAGCCTGCTGACAATGTGTCAGGATGTCTCGGAAGGGATGGAATACTTGGAGAGAAATAGCTTTATTCACAGAGATTTGGTAAGGCGGGCAGTGATGCACGTGTACATTTGAGGCATGCATAAAGCATGAGGTCTAGGGAATGTGCCACATTTCTGATTTTTTACAATTTTCTGAAATGTTTTGACCAAAAACACTGCAAGGTGGGATTCGTGTCCCTTTATGCATGCTGGCTGGGGAATTCTGGAAGTTGAAGCCCACACATCTTCAAGTTGCCAAGGTTGAGAAACACTGGACTAGATCCACCTCTACACTTGTGTAATTGTCAGAAATTAAGCAGAAGACAAACTACATCCATGACATGCAGTCAATATCCAAATGACTGTTTTTCCTTTCTTTCTTTCTCTAGGCTGCTAGAAACTGCTTAGTGAATGAGTCAGGAGTGGTGAAAGTGTCTGACTTTGGAATGACCAGGTATTAGTCAATTATATAGCTTTTACCTAGGCATATTTTAAATTTACATTTGTACATTCCAAGGTGGTAGGGTGGTGGCCATGTTTTTAACTTACAACAGACCCCAGTAATGTGTAACTCACTTAACCAAATTTAATTCATCTAATTCAGAGGGAGATTCAGAAGGGGTTTAATAATATTCTGGCTGCCAATTGGAAAAGATCCAATTTATGATGGTCGGTCTACAACTTATCCAAAGTCAGTCTGTGTGAAAGGTCTGTCCTTAGTCCTTTTAAATATTTGTGAAATTTACCCATCTCTGTTAGGTGCCGACATGAATATGTATGGTCAGTTTCTTGTATTCATTTCAGGAGGATTTTTTTTCTCCTTCTAGGTATGTTCTTGATGATCAGTACACCAGCTCTTCCGGTGCTAAATTTCCTGTGAAGTGGTGCCCCCCTGAAGTTTTCAATTATAGCCGATTCAGCAGCAAGTCTGATGTCTGGTCTTTTGGTAAGATTGTGTAAACTTTTTTTTTTTAGCAAATATAGGAAGATTGCTTTTTCAAATAATTGTCAGCCTCCTCAAACAATCTGTCAAAGCATTAATTTTATTTAAGATGGGATGAAACAAAAAATTAAATATTGCTTAATGTTAATGACACATAATAAATAGCTCTAGATGAAATAAAAAGCGGGACTCTTGGATCAAATCCAGGTTTCATGGCTTCCAAACATCAGTTTTCATAATGAAAATTAGAACTTAAAACTTAACATTCAGGAGTTTCAGTTGCTGAAATCTGTTTTTAACTTGTGCCTTGTTTCATTCTAGTGGTTTCAAAATACATCATCATCATATTTATGTCAGTCATTGACCAATAAAATACATACAATAAAAC